AGGGACTTATTTCTGCCAAGGCAGCCCCTGGGGAATCCCAGTGCTGCCAGTTAGGGCTGAACAGTGGGAAATGGGGGCCAGAAGGCTTCCATGGGATGTACTGCACAGAAGAGGCAGTCCCAGGAGGCTCGGGATATGCGGGTACCTCGAGGTGCCCCTCAGGAGTCCCTCTGCTCCTGTGGCCTGATGCTTGGGTGAATCACAACACTGTTATCAGTTTCACTATCTCTGGACTTTCCAAGGTTTTTGAAGCAAAAAGCTTGGCATGCCACAGGCTGCAGGTATTTACTAGGTGCCTGTATCAGTGCTGTTTGGCAGCAGTTTAGCCTAGCCACTCCTAGGAAAGATGAAGCCAAAAGTACCAAACCCACATCCTGCTTTCGGCAGAAGGGTAAGAAATCTCCCAGTGCTTCAGGATCCAAGGGAGGGTGTTTTGGGAGCAAGATCTGCAGGCTGAGACACAGGAAAGCTAGGTTGTAGTCCTGATCTGCTGGAGAATATGCCTGTATCCTCAGACAAATCACTTAATCTCTCTATGCCTTAGTTTCCTGTTAGCAAATGATATTCCTTATCTTTCACCTCTCATCTCAGTAGAGGAAAGAGTTTGTCTTTTAGTATGTATCTTATTACAGTTCTCTGTCTGGTGGCTGGGGCCCCTCTACCTTGATAAAATAAATAATTGAATTTAGATTAAATGGTCTAATATAGTCCTGCACAGTGGTTACTGAAACACTTGAATGAAAGTTCATTCTGAGCCTGTCTTTCCATTTCCTCGTAAGGCCAAGACATAAAGTAATTAGATGTAGACATAGGTTGTTATTATAGCACAATGACAAAGATCAGTGGTTATTGGTAGGAATGGCTTTTATAATCTAGTTTAATGGTCATTTACCTTTCAATGACCTTGGTGTCAGGCAAAATCGGCAGCTCTTTTGCAAAGAATGTGCTTCCTCAATGGGGGCTTTGCAAGCTGCTGCATTTTTGGCTCTAGCTTCACATGAACTAGGATAGACACTGCTGCAATGCAAGAGACTTTCTGTCTGCAAAGAAAGGCCATAGACTCCTGCCAGAAGAAGCCCTTTTCAGTGTTGTCATACTGTCACCGAATTGTCATTGAAACAGATCACTTGTGTTTCAAGCAATTCTTTGCTTATTGCTGCGACCAAAGTTGCAACCTTCAGAGAGAGTCTGCTGTGGTCAGAGGGCTGTCAATGAGTTTCCATAAAAAGGGTTGCATTGCCTTGGAGTAAAAGGAGGGAGAACATCTCTCATCGTCCAGTTAAGTGCATGCAAGAGGAGCTGGTAGCTTTGGTTGGTCACCCCCATCCTGTAAGGCCTTATTACCCCAGTAAAGATGTGATAATTCTATACAATTTAGAATTTGGTCCTTTCAGTGATGATTGTTTACTCACTGCGGATGCAAATCAGTCAAGTTTTACATTGACTACGATGCTCCTACACCTCTCTCCATGGCATGTTGTGAAATCCTTATGGCTTTTATCCAGTGACTGATGCCTGTGGTCATGGAGAAGAGGAGCATGATCTGGGCTGTGCTGTGATGCCTAATGGTACCCTGTATCTGTGGCCGTGCTCTGTAAGGAGATGGAGTAGGTCATATACTGGGGCTGGAGAGGACTGGATTCAACAGAGGTATTTAGTGACCTTGACTAAGTCTCTTAATTCTTCTGAGACGATCTTAACTTTAGAGGTAATCTTCTGTTTTCCATGAAGTAGGTTGAATTTTTGCAAATCCTGTGGAGGTATTTATTTGAGACGGTGCCAGGAAGATTACTTGAGTCACATTGTACTTGGGGGTTCACAAAGAAGTGCTGTGAGATTTGAGAAGAGCCACGTAGCTGTGGAAGGAGGTTTCTCAAAAGCATCTCTGAGAATTGCACTGCTTTGTGACTTGGGCTTCAGTCTACTTCTGATCCTGCTACTCACAGCCATTTGATTTTGCAAACACATCCTTGCATCTGTAACTATTGCCCTGCAGAGCAAGCCTAGCTATAGGAATCATCTCTTTATATGCTTTTATTTCTAAACTGCTAAGATAAGGAGAGCAAAACAATGCAGCTTGGAGGGAGAGCCATTTGTTTCAGGCTGCTTTGGATAACTACCAACCTGGTTTTGCAATGAGCGTGTTCAGCACATCATCACCACAGCATGGTAGGTCTTTAGCTGAGATCAAGCAGTGGTTTCCAGCATTCGAAATCTTGAGATGGTTTGACATACATGGCCCCTCAACTGTTTTTAGTCCTATTGACGTTCTGGGACCTCTGTAATACTTCTTGCACAGAGGATCTTACAGACTCTCATCGGATTAATTCTTCTTACTTCTCACATTCGTCACCCTCTGATAAGTATTAGTTTGTTCTCTTTCTGATATGAGAGAATGAATGGTCACATTCATTTTAATGGCAGTTTATTTTTGCAGGTATCAGGTTTGGATTGAGAATGTCCAGCTGAGATCAAAGAGATACTTGCATAGAAGCAGATGGTTTATATGCTGCTACTTGCTGAAGAAGAGCAAAACGAATCTCTCTCGAGTCCCTGGCATCTGAATCCATTGAAGTCTGGCAGAGTCTTTCCACTGACCTCTGTGGCCCCAGGATCACATCTTAAATGAGTTGCTTTGAGTCATTAGAAGCCTGAATTCAGCTTTGGTGGGCTGGAAAATGTAACCTACTGTATGGGCTCTGCTATTCATAAGTGTTCAGTCCTCTGTGTGTGCTAGCTGTGGATGCCTGGGAGAAGAATAAAGTCATTTTATGCAGTCATGGGGGTGGAGGAGGGAATGGGAATTATACCCCTTCTCCTGCAAACCCAGTATCGTGACAGCCATGTAGGCAGCTGTTGGGAGCTGACCTGCTTTTGAAGCTTCAAATTAAGGTTATGTGTTTTTTATACGTATGATGTCATCCCTGGCACATAAATATCCTCTCTACCATGCCTGACCAGCAGGATCTGTCCTCAATTTAAATTTTATGAAGTAAGCCACTGAAGCAGATGAGTGACTATAGCAAGGCTGTGATTTACCCCAGTGGAGTTTCCTTAAACTTAGAAGAAGCAGGATCCTTGAATCTTGAGAGATGCTGGTTGTGAGTGTGTTTGACACCAAATGCTCACAGTTCATTGTTCAGTGATATCAGTGGCATCTAATATTGTTGTCAACAAATACTACCTATTTCCTTACAGTGTATGAAAAAAACCTGTTGGTTCTTGAAGTGATTCTTGATTTCTCTGGGTTGCAGTGGGTTATAGCTGGGCAAAACATCAGCTAGCAAAAACATTCAAGTTAATGCAAGCATTTTCCATTCCCTACTGGTCCTAAATCAGGCCAGAAGAGAATTAATTGGTTGTAGAAGATATAATACAAAGTGTGAAGAACTGCCAGTTGGTAGGTTCCTCTGGAGCCATTATTTATTGATCTGAAGTCATTAGACTGTTTTATAGTCAAGCTAGCAAAGATTAATACAGTTTGAGAGCACTAGCATGTTTTTCAATTAATGGCTAGCAACATAAACCTTTACAGTGTAATTTATGCTTTATTTATAGATCTTCTATCATGTTTTCACCTGAAGAAGGGTTTGCTGGTGGCTAAAGATGGGGGAGTAAGAGGGTGATGACACTCTCCTGCCCTTGAACAAATGTTCTTTGTGACCTTGGAGGTGGTAACATTTAAGCGAGATATACTTCAGATGCTTTGCACTATGAAACCAAAATATTAACACTTTTCTAGTTCATTGGTGTGAACAGTGACTCATGGGGATACCATGAGAATACACAGCATAGAAATATTGTAAGTAAAGGGAATGGAGCATTGCCCTAGTTAAATTATCCATATGTCACATTCCTTGGTGGTGTGCTGAGGAGTCACAGCCTGGTTTGCAGCCTGGCAGTGGCAAACCCACTGCCCATCTGCCCTGCAGCACCCTGGCATTGGGGGGGTGGTGGAATTGGGGTAGCAGGGGACCCTCCAAAGGGGAGGAACAGCCTTGGCTGCGTTTTCTGTGCTTTTTCCCACACGCCGTCGTTCTTGCACAGCGCTTCCTCTCTCCACATAATACTCTGTTATTTCCTCCCTGGAACGGGCTCCTGCCACTGCTGCTAATTAGCCCACGATAAACTTCGGGGTGAACAAAAGCGAGCAATTAAAAGCCTGTGGCTTCAGCGTGAGCCCTGTCAGGGAAGTGATTTGTCGGTGGCAGAGCCGAGTGGCACCTCCTTAGGAGGAAAACAAACCTATTAGCCTGGCTTCGCCGCCAGTGCTGGGGAGTGGTGTGTCTGAGTTGCTTATTGCGAGTGTGCAGGGATGTCTTTGGTATGGCAGGTTTTCCTGAGGCTGGCTGAGGTGCTGCTCTGGCTTGGGTCTTCAGTTCCATGTGGTATAAGGATCTCTGTGGTCACTACCCAAGCAAGGTGGCTTGAGAAGTTACTAAATTATGATTTATGTATGTGGGGTTTTGGGGGTGGGGTTTTTTTGTCTCTTTTTGGGAGACACACACATAACCATTTTCAGGTCATTACAGACAGAGAAATAAGGAGGAGGCTTGAAGGCTTGAGGTTTCCTTGGAAAGAGGAAGAAAGAAGCAGGGTCTTTGGTAGATCCCAATCCAAATGAGGTTCGAATTATGTTTTCCAGGATTCAGGATGCAAGTATCTAGATCTTGCTAGCTACTTTTGTGTCATCTCAGGCCTAATGCTCAAAATCCCTCCAGGCTTTCCCTCCTTGAGCAAAATGTCCTATTGGTAGAAGAATAGGTATTACATGGGATTTTACTGATGTATGAACAGACTAAGGAAAGTTGGAGGCTCTTTGGTTTTGGGACCCACTTTCTTTTCAAAACTAGGAGGAGGGCCCAAGCTAGAAAATTAAATATGAATTATTCCTGGTCAGAGAAATATGAAGGATCTTGGAAAATACAGAATTCATGTATGTCCTCTTTTGACACGCTATCCAAATGCTTTGCTAACAGTTGTCTTTGTTGCTGTTGTAGCTCTCGAGCAGCTGCTCACAGAACTTGAAGATTTTCTGAGGGTACTGGACAAGGAGAACTTGAGCAGCACTGCTGTTGTGAAGAAGAGCTTCCTTTCTGACCTTCTGCGAGTCTACACCAAGTCTAGTGGTATGGGCAAGGAAAACTGAGGACAGGGCGGTGGGCTCTCAAGGGAATCGCTACAGGGTCTTGAAGCAACATTTTCTTGGAGGCAGGTGGGAAGGGGAGACATGAAAATTAGAAGGGGAAAATGAAACGGAGATTATTTTTACAGTGACCTCTAATTGTTTATGTAAAACTACTATAGTTATGTGTCCAGCTTTACAAGCAAAGGATTCCCAAGATTCCTGCTCCTTTCTGTTTTTCCTTATTAAACCTTAAGTTTATTTAATCCACTTTGTAAGATACACAGGATGTACTGTTTGGCCAACTTAATGTTTAAGTAGAAATTTTAACTTATGGAATTTCCTGACTATAAAGCATTTAATTTTTCTGCTTTTTATTATTGCTTGGGGTTTTTTCTGCACGTTGCCTCAACCAACATGCTCTCCTCAAATGTACTTGACAGAGACACTTTTTACATCTGTCTTTGTGGAAAAACTTAGCAATGTGAAAGCGGCAGGTGGGTAAAGAGTTCACTTTTCCCTTTGGTTGCAGGTGGCGATGAGGAATACATTTATATGAACAAAGTGACCATCCATAAACAGCAGGGTGACCAGGAGAAACAAGACAAAGGTAGGGAGCTGAAGATTAATGGTTGCATCCTGTCTAATGGTGTGATGAAGGCAGATGCAGTTGAAGCCTTGCTTTACCGATGGAGGCCCCTGTCAGCTCTGAGATGGTGTGGAAGGACTACCATTTTCATAACATTCCCTTAGAAACAGTGGTCCTTGCCAACACTGTGAGGTTATTCCTGGAAGTAGCACTTTGGAGGTCATTATTTTGGGATAAAAATGTTGCCTTCTAAGGCTTGAAGCTCCAGGGCCTGAAATATTTAAGGAAGCCCTCATGTTTCCTTTGGCCACAAAACAAGTCACTTCACCTCTTTGAGACCTTGAAAGCATGTGTCTTCTCTAGTGTGGTGCTGTGCACCAGCCCAGGGGGTCTGCGTCGTCACAACCTTGTGAGGCGAGCTCCTAGGAGCAGCCTGTACCCTCACCATCTGCGCGGGCAGAGCACCTTCATCTCCTGGGGGGTGCGAGAGTTCCGCAGTGTACAAGCCAAGAAATTAAACCTAGATAAAATATTCATTCCCGATTTAGATTTCCCAGGTTTTGAATTTGAAACATGGCAAAGAACATAATTGTCTAAAAATGTTCTTGCTCTTTGAAGTATATCACCAAAGCTGTTTTTGATAAATGCATAGAGTGACATTATTAGTGGCACACATCTCCTTAACGCACACCTAGTTAGAGGCTGACCCTGCCCCAAAGTTTCTCATCCAAAGAGATGAGACAAGGGGATGCATCGGTGCAGCCTGCTGTTAATGTGCTGGTCCAGCAATAGTTGGGATAGCCCCACTCCCAGTGTTGTTTGGTTTGGTTTTATTGTTTTGTGGTGGCGTTTTTTGCTTGTTGGTTTTGTTTTGTTTTATTTAAACTACTTCCAGCTGAATTTAGGTTGACTTCAAATACTCCTGAAGACAGGATGTCCTCCCAGATTACATGTGCAGCCCCAGTGTGATCTCCAGACAGGGCCCTCTGGGTGATGCTGTAATGCTCTGTAACAGGATTGCACAGCCTCCAGGTAGCTCCCAGCAGCTAAGCAGCAATAGAAACATCTCTTTATATAAAGTTCTCTTTTGGGTGGATAAAACAAGGCTTGCACTGATCTGCCATGCTGAAGCATGGGGGCAAATTTCAGACAATTTATTTTTAGTGTTGGTTCTTTTATTTCAGACTTTTCCATATCAAGGCCATGAGCCTACCCACTCAGTTGCTCCCTGTGGGACCTGGCACTTCTCTCTTTCTCTGTTTTCAACAACCTCCCTATTCCAAGTAAAACTTCTGAGTTATTTGGAAATGCTGAAGTGAGACACGCACATGTATGGGATCTTAGCCACAGCTGCAGCTGGGTGTACAGCCCTGATCCTGCCTCTGTAAGTGGATGGAGAGGTCTGTGCCTCTCTGGTCAGCGGTGGGACCTGCAGGTTCAGGTTTAGCAGATGGATGAGACCCTAGTACCCCCAGTGATTATGCAGCTCCCTTTAACTGTTATATCTACTGCATCTCTGTGCACTTTGTTTCACTGCAAGCCTTTGATGGGATGTGGCTGAGCCCTTCAGGGTTTCTTCACCTCCATAGCTGTGCTCAAGTGTGCTCTACCAGCATAGAGTGAAATGCTTTCCAAAGTGATGATACATCAGCTCCAAAAGTCCCCCCTCCAAACCTTAAAATATGCTATTTCTACAAAAAACATATTTCACTGCTCACCATATCTACTTCCAATTGCATCACTAAGGATTTGAGCTGAGCTGCTGTTGAGATGCCTTTTTATGGCACAGTAATTGAATTCACTGTAGTGAGCGATGAAGGCACCATCATTTACTTGATCTCATCGAGACACACAGCAAGTCTCTACCCTTCATGCCCATGGGGCTCTTCAGTGAGCCAAATGCCATCTCCTTCTGGAAGTCAGCACAGAGGAACCGAGGTGCAGGTGTCTGGGAGTTGGGACTGATGCACAGCGTAGGGCTCCAGGTGGTGCACGCTGCAGCCCTCTTAGCCCAAACACCAGGGAACATTCACTTACAAAGAACAGAGAGCACAGATAAGTAACAGTACAGATGCAAATTTTAGCAGGCTTTTGGCTGTTTTTTCTTCTTCCTTCCCTCTTCTAAATTCTCAACAAATTCCAGGTTTTAGAGAGACATCCTTATCTGAAGACACCTGCAAAATGTTAATGCTTGTCTAGGAAAAAAATACTCCTTTCCTCCCACCCCAGTAAGGAAACAGTCTGTGATTTGTGGTGCTGACGTGTAGCAGAAGGAAAGGGGTATGTACAGCACATGCTGTGTGGACTCTCCATACAGAAAACATGCATTAGGTGCTTGTCCCCATATGCTGGGCACAGTGATAGCTGCCCTCTGCAACCTCAGAACAGAAATCCCCATGACATCTCCCAGGGGTCTTGTCAGGATGAAGGTTAAAGGGGTGGTTCTTCCTGAACAGAGCCTGAAAATCAAAGATCCATCACATCCTGCTCTGCTCCTCAGCTGGAGTACGTGGGCATGTGTTCACTGAGGTGGGCATGTTTCCAGCCGGGTGAGGACCAAAGCTGTGGTCTCTGTCCTGTGCTCTAAGGTTGGTGGAAGGGGGAGGAATTGTTGGTACAGAAATCAAACAGTGTTTTCCTGGCACAGTGAGGTTCAGTGGGATGATTGCTAGGTTTGCTGGAGAGCTAAGAACAGATGGCCACCACTTGTGAAGGGTTTGGCAGTGGTTTTTGCTGCTACAATGATTTCTCTTCTGTGGAGTTTAGCATGGGAGGTTCTGCCTGATGCAGGAGGACGCAAATTGACCTGTCTGTTTCTCTCTGCTAAAGAGGCCCCTAAAAAGTTCCCTGTGTGGACAACTGATTGCAGAGATAATCCCCTCTTGGGGAGTAGCTCACTGGTGCTTTAGGAAACCCCAGCCTTTTTTCTGGTGTTTCCAAAAGTAGCAATGGCCTCAGCAGCTGCTGCTGATGGAAGGTGTCCACCCTGAGAGTGCCATCTCCTTAGTCCTTCACAGCAAAGGCCAACCTTCAACAGCATCCTGTAGATATGACTCTGGCAGTGTAATCATGGGGTATTTCAGTAGGTAGATCTCCCCATGATCAATCTGTATCATAGACTCACCTGCTTTACTCTGTTTGAACCTTACAAGACATCCAGCAGCCCTACTTGTGAGGTGCAAACAGCTGCTTGGAGTTGATGTCTATTGTTCCGTGAATTGCCATGTCCTCCTGACTTACTGAAGTTAGCCAGTGCTGATGACCAGGAGACCAGCGTCACAGGGAGCAATTTGTCACAAGAGATGTGTTTTGGGCTCTTGCACCATCATGCCAGGAGACGGCTGCAGCCTGGCAGGGCAGAGCTGTCATCATGACTTCCGAGCCCCAGACGTGAACAAAGTAATGTGGTTTTCAACTTCTATTTTTAAAGGCCAGAAATATGCAGCAAAGTTCCTGCCCACATCTTCTGAGCACAGTGCTAACCATGGCTGGGCACTGTGAAATGCCTTGGTGGTTTCTGTGTGTGCCCAGGCAATGTGGCTGGAGCACCAGCAGGTGACTAAAGGAGCTGGAGCATTAACTCGGTGCAGATTTTGGACCTAATTCCCTTGATTAATTTACTGGACTTGCAATATCTGAATACCTTAGTCTCATTTCTCCCAAAATATTTGGCAAGAGACATTCCGTAAAAGGGGACTTCCCCTCTGCACAGTAGAATGCCTTCAAAGTCCTTAATTTTTCAGCCATTTGTGCCTTGCTCCCACTTGTTCCTGAGCACTGCTGCATTGCGCTATCTTGGAGGTCGTGGGATTGGGCACTTGTTTGAGGCCACCCAGAAGTTCTGTGGTGGGGGAAGGACTGAACACAAGTTTTCTGAGCCTTCGATGTACCCTCCAGCTACTGAATCACTCTGCTTTCAGCTGCTTGGAAAATCTGACTTTCCAGAGGCAGACACAGATCGCCTGGAGCAGTTCTGCTGCTATATGCCCTTTCACATGTTTGGCCTGGGCTGCTTCAAGAGCAACTCTTCCTTCAGTAGCGATTAAATTACTGTTCTTGGCTGGCTTTGATAAACTGGTGTGCAGCTCAGCTAGGCATCAACCTTTACAGTTTGCTCTGGGAGCAGGGCAGTATTAGCTCCAGTTTTCTGGAAAGGCAGTGGACGTAGGGACAGTCACTGATCTGTCTGCTCACAGCAGCAGGGATCAGAGCTAGCAAGGACTGAAGTGCTATGGATTTCCAGACACTGTGGTGTCTGCCCATGCTGCTTCTCAGGAGCCTTTAAAGTTTCAGTAGTGAGTCTGGGCTTCACAGTTTTCCTTCCAGAAGGAAAAACATGCCCTAAAACCAAAGGCCAGCTCTTTTGCTGGGTCTCCTAGTGCCACATTCCTGGGTATGTCCTGAAATGACATGGTGGCCCTGCAGTGCTGCCTGTAATTGTCACTCTGCTTCCTACTGAAATAGCACCTCGCTGTTCCTGCACAGCCCCTCGTAGCAAGTGCTCTGCTGGGAAATGCCACGTGTCATCAATATAAATGTGTTTCTGGCTTGCAGCGCTGGATCGGAGAAACTCCTTGACCAATGGAGACTCAGGACTGCACTCTTCCCCTCCTCAGAAGAGCCTGCCGGACCTCCCCCCTCCAAAGGTATGTTTTGCAAATCTTTTGCTTTTCACTGCCTAACCCTCAGCCTGGGGATCTGAGCCCCTCGGGGCTTCACTTTTGTTATGGACGTTGCAGCACAGCTAAACAGAGAGACCTCTGTCTGTGTATGTTAGTGAAGTAAATAGTCCTGGTGAACTTTATTTAAAAAAAAAATAAAATACCCCACTAATATGGGTTTCCAGCTGTATGTTTGTATCTTTATGAACGCTGCAGGTCAGCCTGTGGCTGATGCAGGTGCTGTGGCTGGCTGGTGGCCCAGGCAGGGTGGCCATGCTCCCAGGTAGCTGGGCATCCAGGAACTTCTGCGGTTCCCAAGACTCGTGCACAGGTGGAGCAGGCTGCTGTGGGAGCCCGGGGCTTCCTGTGTGTTGAAGCTTTCAGGAGCACTGTGCAAAATGGGCTGTGGTCCCTGTCAGGGAAACCCCCCCACACAGTATGGCAATCCAGGCTCAAAGAAGGAAGAGAATGGAAGTTTTCAAAGAAACAAAGGTGGTGATGGCTCTCAACTGTTGTTTGGGAAAGCTCCTGCGACTTGTAAAGTAGCTGTGACTGAGCTGCTGACATAAATTTATAAAAGCCAAAAATCCTTCAGCTGCTGAGCGGTGGGGAGATCCCCAGGCAGCACTGGGATCTCCCTTGCTGTCAGAGCCTTGCACGGTTTGGCCGTGAGCAGGGAAGATCAGGTTTGCTTCCAGTTGAAGTGCCTGGTGTTATCTGTGCATTGGGTGACTGTGTTGGGTGTTATGCTGGTTGTACAACCCACAGGTCTGTGAGGAGGAGTCGCCAGCACTGTAGATTTTTCCGTAGGGCAGCTATAAATCTAGCCAAGGTCCAATTCAACACCATCAGCTTTCAGTGGGATTTTGTCTCAGTGCCAGCAAGCCAGCCCAGCTGTCCTAGAGAGACACGGGTCATCCCTGAGACCCCGGATGTTGCTGTTCAGTAGCTGATCCAACGTGGGAATCAATGTAGCTGGGATTTCAGGATGTGAAAGGAAAGGAGGGCAGGGAGTATGCATGGAGAGGGGGGGGAGGCATGCAAGAGGAAGGGGTGGTGCATCCATCAACCGTAGAGAGGGATCTGCTTCTTTCCCAGGAGGAGGGGTGTGGTGTGAGGCTCCAGGCCTTCTACCCTGGGGGCTGTGTGGCTCAGATGGAGTTAGCTGAAGGAGCTGGGAAAACAAGGGGTAGGATGGGATGCAGCCAACAAAACCCTTGGATGCAGTGTGGTTGCCTCCTGGAAGCTGCTCCCACCCCGGGGGGGGGCTCTGACTGTGCAGCCGGCTGGGGATATAGTGCTGGAGCTGGAGTCTCCTGGGAGCAGTGACAAGAGCAGGAATTGCTGTTTGGCTTTGGGTTTCTCAAAGCTGGAGAGGCTGGTGGCTGTGGCAGGTCAGTGGGCAGAAGGACAGCAATGCTGCGGAATGAAGGCACAACTGGGGAAGCAGCAGCTGGGTGTCCCCAGGGCATCTCTGCTTGTGCTTGGTGCAGCCCAGCTTTCTGACAAGGCAATCGGGAATTACAAGAATGCAGACTTGGATTTTTAGCTGCGAATGGTGCCCAAGACATCTGTCTTCTCCCAGGCCTGTGCTGGGAACTACCATCTCCCACCTGTTTACCACTGGAGCTGTTGGCAGCAAAGATATCTTGGCATACTTCAAGGAGTGGGGCAGAAGAGAGTTACAATGTGGTCCCAGTTAGCATGTGGAAATTGATGCTGTGGGGAAATAAATCTTCCCTGTCCGTGTTTTCTGCTCCTGGCACAGGCAGGAGCCATGGCCACCTGGGTGTTGGAGGAGGGAGCACAACTCCTTACACAGCTCTGTAGAGTTTGCTGTTGTTTGGTGATGTTAAGGCACCCTGTGATAATGCTCTACACTTGGCTTTTGAGGCACAGGAAAAATTTGGTGATAAAGCTCTGCACAGCAGATTGTTCCTGGTATCCACTGGTACCAACAGTCGGTGGGCAAACCAACAGGGGTGGTCTAGCTGGATCCCGCTAATTTCTTTGGATTTGTCCCACAGTAACCTTTAAGCAATGAGTCCTGCAGGCTGTGGCTCAGACATCGATGACCCTTTGCCAGCAGTAGCCCTGGCAGCTCTGCTGCTTTCTGCAGCCGTCCACCAGGAAAGTCACGCGGTGTGGATGCAGATGCCCAAGGTGGTTTTATTTGCATGCTCCATTGTGCTGTAATGCAACAGGCAAGTGTTCTGCAAGGGTCAGCCTGGTTCAATAACACAGTATGTACTCTCTGACTTAAGCTGGAGACAAAACAGCTCCATGCCTTTAGGGAAAGGGAAGAGAAAAAAATAGCTTCTGGGGCAGCTGAGGTGCAGTCCCGCCTAGTCCCTGTTGGCTTCCATTGTCTGGAGGAAACAAAACAGAGCAGCCCCTTCCCCTCCCACCCCACCTTCCCTGACACTTTTGGGATGGTGTCAAATAAACCCACAGTGTTTCTTTGTGTAGGCAATTTGTTTATGGTCGTAGCACAATGTGAGCTGGCTACATGCAGGAGGCCACTGCAGATGGCAATTGCAGACACATTCCCTGGCCAGGGAAGGGATTAAGTAAAGCTTTGGAGTGGCTGGGTTTGATTTTGTTTCTTTAATTTAACATGTTAGGACAAGTTTCTAAACCTTTAAGTGTTTGGAGGCAAGAGTTTTCCGGCAGTGGGTCCTATGTGGCTCTGGAAAGCAAGTTCAGAGTCTGCTCACAGTATCTGGCAGACCCGTGTAGCAAGGAGTTTTCATCCAGGACACTTAAGAAGTCTGCAAGGTTGGCAGAGCCACGGGCAGCTTGCCCATGTGGGAGCAGAGACACGTGATGTTGGCCAGTGTGGTCAGGGTACCTACCTCCCACTGGCTCAGCAGCATCCCCCTTTGGGGGGAGTCGCTGGCAAGAAAATCTTTCCCTTCAAAGCTCCCTTTCTACTTCTGAGCAGCAGTACCTGTTGATGGAAATATCCAGGGCAGGATGGGCAGCTTTGAACCTGTATTTGATGATGCTGGCATGACCTGCAAGGGGACTGATCTTGCCTTAGACTGCTCTGAAGTGCTGGTGCCCAGCTGACCCCTCTTCTCCAGACCAACAGGAGCAATCATACGGGCTGGCACGAAGGACCATGCATGATCTGTGACCTTCAACAGTGCTGTGTCTGCAGAGAGAGACCTGCTCCTCTGCCTGCCCTCCTGGGAGGAGTGGGGCTTTAGCACTGCGCACACTGAACATCCTGTCCAGGATTTTCACAGGTCTTGGTCAGAAGCCGGTTGAGGTGCTGTGAGCCAGAGCGTTCCGCTGTCAGATGACAGGGTGGTTTGACCCGAGTGAGGTGGGGGGTTACCTCAGTGGGGAACAAGGGGACACTGCTGTCAAGTATGATGGGAAATGGGATGCCTTGTATTTTGAGAAGAGCGTAAGCTGTGCACTCATCCTACTGTGATCTGCAGCTCCGCTGTCTCATGTTCAACAGCTACATGAATTGAAAAGTAAAAAGTTTGTTTCTTAGCTTCCCTTTTTACTTTTTTTTTTTTTTTCCTCCCCCTCACGTGTTGGTATTTCTAAAGGATCAAGGCACTGTTTTTCCTGCCAGCCCTTGCTTGTGTTTAGGGAGGGGTTTGGCAGGCTCCACAGGGATTTTCCATCACTTGGACTCTTTTCAAAGGCTTATTTTCCATCAGTGTTGTTTATCCATTTCCTTAATTTTTTGCTCAGAGCACCATTAAAGATTCCTGATAGTTCCTAAAGCAGAGATTTTTAGCTGTTGGTTTGCTATCAGCCAAAGACTTGGAGACACAACCAGGGACTGCTCAGGCCAAGCTTTTCAGTGTTAAGCCAGGATTGCACCAAATGTCCACCCTTCTTGTTCCCTGTTAAAATAATCAATAGCACAGAGGATCATCCCCAGTTACGGTGAACAGCTTACGGGGGGTTGGTGCAGCAGGCAGAAGTCTTGGTTTGCAGTAAGGCCAGTGGATTGAAATTGCTGCTTTTGAGGAAAACTGTGAGTTGATCTTCTCAGGGCTTTTGACAATATTAAAGAAAACATTTATGACACAATTACACAGTAATTTCAAAGAACTCTTTCATATTTGAGTTAACTGTACACTGAAAACCCTCAGCAGTCTTTCTTCCCTGTTACCTCAACAAGTTTCCATGAAAAACCTCATGTACGGATCTAAAAGATCTCATCCGCTAGGATGCACTTTAGTGCTAAAAAAAAGAAAAAAGAATTGCCCTATTGTTTTCAAGGATCTGTTTTTACATTAAATCATGTTTCTTTTATTTATTTATTCTGCAGATTCCTGAAATAAAACAACCTCCGGTCCCCAAGATGGATTCCCCAGAGGGATATTATGAAGAGGCTGAGCCATATGATGTCTCTGTAAATGGTATATCACAGCTAACTCTCTGGGGGGGTTTATGTGGGAGATGGAGGACTTGAGGTTAATAAGAACAAGTAAATGGAAGCACAGACATTTCTCACAGCTTGTGTGACAAATTTGTTTTCTGTTGTTGGTCACACTTGATACTACAGATCTAATGCTAGTTGGAAAGAAAAGACTACTGAATTACTCACAATTTTAACTTTCTGGTAGTACACCTGAGTTAATATCACTGTAAAATATTATAAAGCATTGTGGGTTCTCTTTGTCTTGATGGTTTTATGGCAAAAAGGCTGTAGTCAAACACAGGTTTCTATTCAGGAGAGAGTGGTGAAGCTGTGGTGGCTTGCATTCATGTCTTAGTGCTCTAATCATCCCCTTGGGGCTCAAAATCCATGACTCTGGTCTGTTAGATGTGATAACTGTTTTCATAATTGGCTATTTATTCAGCTCTGTCTCTTGTGGCAGTTTAACCATCTGTAAACTCGATTAAAAAGCCACACTTTGTGTGAGAGGACAGTGTGTGGGTTCCCTCTGCACACACTCTGGGTCGGCACCTCCCAGCAATGTCCTCAGCAGTGCCACAGATACCTGTCACCTGTGGGCTCCCCACCCCTCCGGGAGGAGGCTGCTGCACACAGGCTGAACTCCCAGGTTCTCGCTTTTTAAGATGTATTAACTGCATCCTCCTTCTGGTGAACACCCTTCATGAGAGATTACCTTCCTCTGATCTGATAGCAGACCTGATCTTGTCATCGCTTTTGTTGTGGGTTTGAGTGAGTGGAGGGGCTTTAATCCATTTAAGCCCAAATGAGACAGATTATATCACTCCGCAGCAGAAGCAGATCTCTGCTCATCAGCCTTGACTGCAGCAGAGTGGGGTGCCATAGCGTACATGGCGTGGGGCAGAGCTGAGTGCGGAGAGTCGAGGCAAGCAAAGTGAGTTAAAGGTAAAAGATTTGGGTCTAAACCCTTGGCTGTTGAATCTGAGCTGCTTATGAGAGAAGCTGAGTCCCCTCCAGCCCCAGTGTGTAGCACCAGGCTTTGAAGCTCCCTGGCAGGGAAGCACCAGCAGTGCCGCCGTTTGAAGCAGCCAGGGGTTGGTGCAACCGAACAGCCCTCTCTGCGTGTGTGCCCCTTGCACTCCTGGACAGCTTGTAGCTCACTCTTGGTTGCTGTTCTCACGAAGGCTTAGGAATTACAATGATACAAAAAGGGGAGATGCCGTTTCCCTGAACCATCCTGTTTTGGCTGCAACTGCATTGCAGCAGTGAACAGGAAAGATCCTGCCCAGCTCAGGTGGGAAGAGGTGCAGACTCATCACAGCCAGGGTGAAACGTGCCATTTGTGCGGAGCAGAGGTCCCCCCAGCTCTGCCGTGTGTAGTTAGGTGCCAGCTCAGTTTTGTCAGAATGCTTTGGGTTGTTTGGCCGAGGCCAGGGCTGTGATGTGCAGGGGGGTGAAGCCCTCCTGCAGCTGGGGCCGCACAGGTTGCTGCAGCCTCATCCCCACAGTGGGGTTCTGATTGCCTGTGCTGTAAGATAAATGGACTTCTTTTTTTTTCCCTGCTGCACACTGGGAAAGTGGATAATGTGCTAAAAGCCATAACATGGGAAGACTTACACCAGATTAGCTGGAGTATGGCCATGGATCTGTGTGCTGGGAAACCCAGGTTATGTTATCCAGGCAGCTCCATAAACTCTTGTTGCATTTAAAGCCTTGTCTGGCAGGAGTGATAAACACACACCCAGCTTAAACCTTTGCTTTTACTTGGTAACCTGCTGCTCAGGGATGTAAATACACCTTCCATCCACTGAAATCCAGTTCAGTCAGATGCCTAAGGAAACAGATCAGAGCCCTGCAAAAAGAGAGAAAAGTCCCCTGTGATGAGAGCACTGTCAAAACAAAGTGGTTCTGGGCACTGATGGGGCAGTCTGTGGCTGCAAGTAGCTGTTTGACCAGTGGGCTCGGCGTTTTACCAAGCAGTATCTCAGCAGTAAGTAGAGATAGGAGCCTGTGAAGCAAGCAGAGGTGGAATGTGCAAGTCCAGGCAGTCCCTTGGCACCAAGGTGTGTGGTGCCTTTGCCTCCTGTGACTGCTTAACTGCTGGTCCCCTCTGCAGGCCCCAGCATGTCCCTTCTACACAAACCACCTAAGGTGCTATAATGCCGATGGTTTTTAAGGTGGTTTGCATGAGAAGGAAGGCAGTATCACGTCACCAAGAATTTATGTGCCTTTTGGCAGCCTCATGTTTGAGGTGGTGCCTTGAGGGGTGAGCAAGGGGAGACGTGGAGCGGCAGGTATGTGGCAGGAGGAGGCTGCAAGGGCTTGGGAGAGGGTGAAGCATGGCATGCTGTGCAGAGGGGAGGTCAGGCAGCAATGCTGGGAAGCTGCTGGTTGCTTTGGTTTGCTTCAAGAGATCAGGCTTCAAGTCCCATGGCACATGGACAAACCTGAAGGTCTCAGTCCTGTCCATTGGTTCAGTGAGTACAAAACTGAGCTCCCCATCCCTTTTCCCCTCTTGCCTTATCAGATGGAATGATACCCTGTACCTGTCCTACACGGAATAATGCTCAGTGCTAGCAACTGCCTTGAGACCTTGGTGTGACTGCTGATGCTAAAGGGCAGTCTGGACATACATGGGTCTGTCCTTTCCAAAGATGCTAAAGCCTGACACCAGTAACCCCCCAAGCCCTCTGAGATCAGCCCCCTCGCCCCACAGGCTGGGTCAGAAAGGGGCTGGTGGTCCAGGGAGCTGCTGGTGGTGTTTCTGACAGAATTATAGCATGAGCCTTGGAAGACACCCATGTGTCTCCAAACAAATGGGCGTAGTGAAATCAAACAAAAATAGAAACACCACTAAAATTAGTGGGTGCACTGCCAAGAAAGGACATCAAAGCAAGCCTCCAGATGGGCTGAGGAGATAGAGGATTTGCGCAGCGTCAGAGGTGGGGCCGGGAGGTACTGTAACAAACTATGGGTGAATTAATTAAAATAAAGTGGGTGGGCAAGACTACTGGGTCTTGGGGTCCCTCCTTCATCATCAGGATTCCTGCCCCTCCACTGGGGATGCCACTGCCTTTCATTTCACAGCTCCAGCAAATGCTGCTCCTTTTTCCTCCTGGGCTGAAATGTGTTAAACCGTTACCATCCTCGTCCTAGTCTGCGTTTGCATAATTGATGGGTGCGATAAGAAACAGTGAAAACGCAAGGGGCAACATAACTGCCAAATGAGCAATAATTATTCTGGATGAAACAGCTCATCTGCCCTGACTGATTTTAATTACGATGCCAGTGATTCCATTTTAAAGGGGATTGCCTTGTTTGAGGGGACAGATTGAAAATATTGTCCCTGTTTGAAGTCCCTCTGTACGGCGTGCTCCCCGGTCAGTAGCGGGGACAGGGCAGCCTCGCCGGCCGAGGGGGGGGCGTGGGGCTGAGCCAGTGACACCCTTGTTCTCTGCATTTGCTTATCTGTGGCTTTCTCTCTTTGTCTCCTTTCTCTTTCCTTCTGACTATGCAGGTCTTTTTGGTAGGCTCGCTGCGGCTGGACCCAGGCCAGGGTTGCAGGTTACTGAGGGTGTTATTTATGCCACAATAACAATGGGTATGACATGCTTTCCAAACTTGAAGTGCCTTTTTTTTTTTTTTTTTCTTTTTTTTTGTCCTGAAAAACCCTACCAATGACTTAGTTTTAGCAAAGATGACCAGATACCTGCCCCTGGCATTGCCCATTATGTGCATGGAGGGTAGCCGCCTCTCCCCTCTCTCTGCCTGTGATGGATATGTGCAAGGTGATGGTTTTCTGTGCTTTTCCCCGTGCTCAAGGCAACAATGAAGAGAATTTCGAGAATTTCCCTAACCTTTATTTCCCTGGTTTCGGTCACTGATGTGGAGTTGATATATGGTAATGCTAGCTGTATTGAAAAATAGCTTTCAGTGAATGTTGAAGGTGCTGTGCTCAGGCGGAGGCAGCTCTGATGTACAAGATGGTTGGAGCTTCCTGCATCATGGTATTGATTTAGTTCCCTGTAAGGTCATGGGAAGACAAACAGGAAAGAAGAGGTGGGTTAGATGAAGACATCCAAGAAGATGGCTCCCACTGATGTCACAGCAACGAGAGGATAAAACTGTGGTCTTAGTTGAAACTGCCAGTAGGTGGAAATGAAGACCTTGTACTGAAGTGCCTGAGCAACATGATTTGGGATTGGGTGAGCCTTAGTAGTGACGACAGTCACCCAGGCAAGGTTTTCCCCAGTCTACCAAATACACAGCCTGGAAAACACCTTTCCATCATGAGGCTGCAGCAGTGTCACCAGGCCAGCAATGCTTGCAGCTCTTCAGGTAGAGAAAAGCTCAACTCCTGAGGCTGTTGTGGTTGTGGCTGATGCACTAAAGAGCAGCCAGGGCTCCCACTGAGAGCATGGAAGAAAAGTGTTATCCCCCCAGGATAAAGGTGGCAGCCTCAGACCTAATGCCTAAGTGAGGGGCACCAGAGATACCCAAAAGGGGCCAGAGGGGCAGTTAGCAATAGCCCCATGTTGATATGGAGGGAGATTTAGAAGACAGAAGTTCCCTTACGCACCCTTCCTGCTGCTGCTGCATAAGGAGGGGTCCCTAGCAATGCAGAGGCTCAGCTTCTTGGTATTTCTAGGGATGAGGAACCTCAACACTTCAGCTGAATTTCTGCCCAGGGTGCCTATGGAGAAGGTCTGCACAGTGATAATGCATTTGAGGGTAATGTTTTCCCATAAAAGATGGTCAGTCCAATACATTGAGGGTATCGAGATGGTGAGCTGGTAGTGTGCTGTCAGCACCATTCAGAGACTTTGAAAGGGAGTATCTGCTTTTTAATAAGCTTGCTTAATTGGTGCAGTTTTGATCACTTGAGGGATGTTACAGAGTGAGATTTCACTGGGGGGTAAGGCTGTAGATTTGTTACTGTATCTCAGTTCATTTTATTTTAAGAACAAACAAAGCCAATTTAAGAGGTGTTCTTCAGTGAAGCTCCTAATGCTTTTTTCTTCTGGCTGCTTTTCCTACTTTTATTTTGCACCAATCTGATAATGTTACTTTTATGTGGATATTAAGATTTGATGAGAATCAAAATTCGGTTAAATTCTGGTGAGAGAAACTTAACAATATTCCTCCGTGCTGTTTGGTAGGACAAGAATGCAAAACCCTACACACATGCTGCCCGAATCTTACCATCTTGCTGTGTGAGCATACCTTGTGGATAAGAGCCATACTGTAAATGCCAGCAGAACATTGCAAATTCCCCTGCAGTCAGGGGGAACATTTTCATTGTTTCTGCTGAGTCTGGTACCAATGACCAGCTGTTTCTATCAGCTGAAAACTCCAGTAACCTACAATACATTAGAGCTGGGTATTGGAAATCCCAACTCATCCTAATAATGTAGCAATCCGTTTAAGAATGAACATGAAAAATCTGATTACTGTTATTTACAGCTGTTACTTATGGCTTAATTTTTGCTGCTGCAACAATGTACTACTTCAGAGCCCCTTGCTGTCCCTTAGATGCTGAGTAGAGAGACAGACCTGTTAGCCCAAAGAAGGAAAGTGAAATGACATCTCAAATACAATAGATTGTTGCTTGCTGCATGGCCTTGCAAATACCATTTTTATTTCTGACATTCTGAGGACAAGGGCTGATTGTAGCTTGCTGTTGCCTTAAAAATTGTGAATGTTTGGCTTGAAGTAGAAAGTAGAAAAATCATCTTTGGGTGGGAAAAAAAGCAGCAAACATCAGAAAATATCTAATGGAATGTTCTTGTATTTGTGGTCAACCAAAAAGTGTCTTTTGAGTGTTTGCTGACTATTAGGCACAAAACATTGCAAGGAGATTGATATTGGGCTAGAGAGAAAAAATGATCTATAAGGGTTATTTTTGTATTGATTATCCTCTTGCAGGAGAGCCTCAAAAGACACCTCCCTATGCTGGAAGCTTTTGCATGTGTGAGCATGGCTGAGGCAAGAAATAAGCTTAGAGTTGTCCTATAAATGTATTTAATGATAAAGCTTTACTTTTGTTATAGAAGATGGTGAAGCTGTTAGCAGCTCCTATGAATCTTACGATGAAGAAGAGAGCAGCAAAGGCAAGTCAGCAACCCATCAGTGGCCATCCACAGAGGCCACCATTGAGCTGATGAAGGACGCCCGCATCTGCGCGTTCCTGTGGAGAAAGAAGTGGCTGGGACAGTGGGCAAAACAGCTGTGTGTTATCAAGGACACCAGGTTGCTGGTGGGTAGTTCTTCCACTCTGCTTAAAACAACCTCTTTTTGTAAGCTGGGGAAGTGGCACCTCAGGCCATGCTAACTAGAGTACCTCTAGAAGCAATGATTCAAAAGCCTTGTCCCAGAGATTTGGGGATCTCATTCCATTCTCAGAAGGGATGTGGGCACAGGGCTGCTGAGGGGGGCACAAGGGCACATTTGTGGCCAGAATCCCAAACTCCCAGAATGCCTGCACATACTTTTTGGGGAAACGTTTTGCAGTGGTGAAGCAGAAGGGATGCTTATCCCACTGGCTAACCACATATTTGACCCTCTAGCAGTATCTGTGAGAGGTATTTCAGACTATATATGCAGGTACATAGGTGTGTGCATATCTGGAGACATCCTGTGTGTAGCCTGTGTAGACAATGCGCCCTTGTAGGACCTGTAGGACCTTCTTGTGTTCAGTGCACTTAATGTGTGTGGTTGCACTGAGCCACTTCTAGGGTTGAGTTCACACCAGCGAGTGAGAAGGAAGGCTCCTCCTCAGCCTCTTACCTGCCCTCCCGTATTCCTTCCCCAGTGCTACAAGAGCTCCAAAGACCACAGCCCTCAGCTCGACGTGAATTTGCTGGGCTGCACTGTCATTCACAAGGAAAAGCAAGTGAGGAAGAAAGAGCATAAGCTGAAGATCATCCCCATGAGCGCCGATGTCATCGTGCTGGGGCTGCAGAGTAAAGACCAGGCAGAGCAGTGGCTCAGGGTCAGTGGTGCCTTTGGGGCTTGTCCCGCTGGTGCTCCCATGCTGCTACCCTGGCTTTGCTGGGATACCGTATCTTATCTCCGTCCTGTCGTTGTGTGCTCTGGCTCCCTTCCTCACTGCAAGCCCGTATACAAACACACCACTTCATTTTCATGTCCCAGCACAGCTTCTTCCTGCAGCTCCCTGCCGCCTTCAGCACGCGAGGGGCTGCGGAGGGACCTCCCAGCCCAGCTGCTGCGCCAGGAAGGATGCCTGGGGTGGGTGCCCGACATAAATTGGATGAGAGCAGGGGGAGATGTGGCCCTTTCCCTGAAATGGCAGCAGCAGAAGGAGCCTTCGTGGAGCCTGGGGCGGCAGCGGGGCTGCGACGTGCCAGGGCTGCCTTTGCTGGCAGCCTCTCCCTGGCTGGCCTGGCTCTGGTGGTTTCTGCTGGCTGCCTGCTGCGACACCAGGGAAGTCCCGGGGGTCACAGGGACTGTAAACTGGGGGCCTCCCAGGCTGCTGTGGTTTTGCCTGCCCTGGGCGGGGGAGAAGTATAGATCCTGTTACTGCAGCTCTCTCACAGGCCACGGCTTCTCCTGCACAGGTAATCCAGGAGACCAGCGGTCTGCTGTGCGAAGGAGGCAGTGAAGGCAACCAGTATATCCCAGATTCGCAGCGTCTCAGTTACCCAAAGGTACACCTTGTCTCTACAGAGAGAACTAGCACTTAGGCTTTTCTACCCTGTTCTTTTAATAAGTAATGGTTGTAGATGCAGTAACTTCATCTGAAAAAAGACTGAAATGGGTGTAACCAGACCCCTGTTCTGCTGAAAAGGAGCATTATTGGAACAATCTAAAATTTCCTTTACAATCTCAGTCTTGTTGCCACATCTTTCCTCCAAAACTGACTCAGCATTGGGCTGTCCTCCATACAGGACAGCAGCCGCTATCTCATCCAATGGGACAGTTGTGCTCACCAAGAGCTTTGGAAGGGACATAGACACTTGGATTCCAGGGCTTGGGCCAGTCTCTAGTCCAGGTTTAGGTGACACTCCTTTGGGGGCAGCTTGTTCCGAAACAGTGGGAGGAGAAAGAATCCTTTGTAAGTCTCTGGTGCACATCCAAAATGGACCAGTTTTTCTGCCCATGCCCTCATATGGGGCTGGAAAATGCCACCACCAGCCAGGCTGCAGGGCAGGAGGCCGTAGGGTGGCACCAGTGGTGCCACTGTGTCACCTCAGAGACGGGCCCAGCAGGGGCAGTTCATGTGCTGGACCTGCCCATGCCAGGATCAGAAACAACAGGGAGGGCACGGCGTGGGTGGGTGGGCGAGGGATGTCTGTGTGAAAGCATCTGCTATGGAGAAGGTGAGACCTCAGAATTTAGGAGGAGGGGAAAAGGCACTTGCAGTGGGTGCTGGCTGGAAAGGTGGGTCGCATGCATCTGCGGAGCTTGTGTCTGCTGCTTGTTGACAGGTGGAGGTGTCTGAGAGGTACTCTGCAGCCTCCGAGAGTGGGAGCAGCACGGATGGCCACCCAGAGACAGCTGAGACAAAAGATGGTAAAATCTCACCCTGGGAACGACAGGGAAACTGGGACATTGATCCTGCATGTGGCAAGGGTTTCTGTAGCTTCTCCTGACACTGCCACCTCAAACTGACCTGATGCAGGGTGAAAACTTCATGTAAATTCACTGCCTGTGAATTTGATTTCAGTGTTTTTTTTCCATAATGAAGTAACAGGTGGATGTTGGGATTTCTTAGCAGTTACAGAGTTAGGACAGGGCTTGAGAAACCCGGGTGTGAAACCTGCCCTACTGCAGAGATCCTGCATGACTCTGGGCAAGTCACTCAGGGATAGTTTGAGACGGCATAAATGCAACTTAAGTGACTTTCCCCAGAGATGCCTGTGGAGAGACTTGGAGTACCTGTGTGAAATGCTGAGCTGTCTCTAATGGGAGAGTTGTATCTTCACACTAGGGAATGCAACTCTGGGCTTTAAGCTGCATTCCCCATCTATAAGATGGGGTGGGTATGTTAAAACAGGAGATGCTCTATTAGGATGATGGGATACACCTATATACTGGAGAGAGAGAAAAAGAGAAATCCATGCTGAGGACTCACTGGAGTCACCCCCAGCAGATGGAGCTCGACTCTACACTAGGATGTCATCATTTGTTATGATAGTGGGAAGGAAAATCTGGACTGAGACCATCCAGTTTGATTTCTTACCAGGATTACCTGATGATTATGCAACCATATTGATGCACTGACTGATGTGCTCGGTAGGAAAGTGCTGAAGAGGCTCTTTGGGCATAAGTTTAACCCATCCCCACCTTGAGTCCCTCTTTTAGAAAGGAAAAGACTCGAATGCAGTTAACATTTATGTGTAGTAGTTTTTAATTCAATTCTTTGTAGTGTAAGAAAATGAAGGGTGGTTGGCGCCTGCACATTAAGACCTGTGCAAACAGCCTTCCCACAACTCCTGCAGCGACTGGCGTTTGGTCAGAACTAACCCAAGTTTAAAGCGATACAGATTAAGTATCTTCAGCGAATCACTTAACTGAGATTACTGGTGCCACCTTGTTCATCATCTCCCAGGAGTTTGGACTGTTACAGTCTGTCCCTGAGTCGCAGGTTTGTCCTCTGCAAGGGATGTGTGTGCTGCAGTGCTGCGGGGCTCAGGACAGCAGTGCAGGCAGCTTTGGGGAAGGACACCCAGCTGGGACAGCAGGCTGTGTGTATGGCTGCGAGTTGGGAAAGCCATGCATGTATCTTTTTCTTTTCTGGTAGTTAAGAAGAAGGGCACAACTGGCCTCAAACTGAGCAACCTGATGAACCTCGGGAGGAAAAAATCCAGCTCCCTGGATAGCCCAGAGAGATCCCTGGAGACTTCAAGTAAGTGGCAGCAGGAGCCCCTCTGCAGGGACTTGTCACGGGGTTGGATCTCGGTGTGCAGGGCAGGATGAACACCAGGCATCATCCTCCTCAGTCACGGATGTGCCAGGCTGTCCTGCTGGGAAAGGGAAAGAGGCCACAATTTGCTTGGTCCATGCCAGTAAATCCATGAAGGCTGTGGTGCCTCTTACACATCAAGGTGACTGTGTGGCTTACAAAGGCAGGCAATAGCTCACAGAGTGACCCAAAAGGAAGGGCAGGTAATACCAGACATGCATGCAGAGGGCATCAGCCCACGGCGTGGGTGTCAGCAGGGGAAGAGCTGTGTGGGTCAGCTGGTGTTCACCAAGTGGGACCAAATTTGTCCAACCATTTCCAGCCAACTTGCTGCTCCAAACCTAACCTGAATTTCAAGGGTCTCATTTTGAGCAGATTTTTACCCTTTTCACTCTGTTTTGTATGGATAGGACAGCTTGTCTTTGTTGTTGCTTGTGGCTTTGTGTTGTGTAGTGATTTCAGAACTCATCTGTCAGATACCCCCATGCCCACAAATACGTCTGGATTTCCTCTCCCCATGGGGTGGAAAAATGTGCCTAAGTAACCTGTGCTTGCTTGCAGGTTACCTGAATGTGCTAGTGAACAGCCAGTGGAAGTCCCGTTGGTGTCAGATAAAAGATGGTCACCTCCATTTCTACCAGGACAAGAACCGAAGCAAACTGGCTCAGCAGCCCCTGAGTTTGGCAGGTTGTGAAATTATCCCAGAGCCAAGCCCTGATCATCTCTACTCCTTCCGCATCCTGCACAACGGGGAAGAACGGGTCATCCTGGAGGTAGGGTGTATATCTCCAAGAAAGCTCTGCTCTAAGTCATCAGCATGGGTGTCTTAGTAAGCCTAAATGCCAGCGAGGTCCTTCAGAGGAACCCTCAGCCCAGCAAAACAGAACCTGAAGCATGGGACTTGGGTTCATCTGCCTGTGGTCACCTAGAAGATGTCCCACCTAGCTGGTAATCCAGGCTGTGTCTGATGTTGGTGCCTCCAGAGGACCATTCAGCCTTCATCTTAGGCGCTCATCTTAGGATGGGATGAAGGGTCCTCTGGAGGTGCCCATCTCTCTCCACTGACTATAGGATAACTTTGGATGATTAAGATATATGGGATGCATTTCAGATGGCTAATGTTAGAGAAGAACGCCACTTTAGGGATTTAAGTCTGTGGTTAGGAGAACAGAGGACTTCAACTTATGAAAAGAGAGTCCCAAAGCCACGGTTCATGCATCCCAAGTAAACCAATCACAGATTTTCCCCTGAAAGTGCAAGTGAATTCATCTCCATCTGTTAGTTCCTTTGCCTGCATCCAGGACTGTTTATCTCTAATCTTAGCTCTCTCTGACGACAGTGTGATTATAGTAGGAGGTGGACAATGTGAGCAATTTCCTGTATTTTTCCAGTGAGTAGAATATTTATAGCTAAACAACTGACTTTGAGGGCCCACTATGAAGTTTGAAGGTGTTTTTGTTTAGCTTCTGATTCAGGGTATGTCTGTGTCTAAGAAATTTTGCCTAATTACAGATGTGAAAAAGGGGTGCTGGGAAAATTTACGTTTTGTGAATGGAAGAATCTGTATTTTGTTGGGATATCAGACTCAATGTACAGACTGGCTGGTTGGCAGGGTCCCCAGGGACTGAAGTCTCTGCTAAATTAAAACAGATTGAAAGCTTAAAATATACTTTCCAGTTTGGGATCACTTGCCCTGAATTTTACTTAGTGTTTACTGCTCTAACTCCTCAAATCAAAGCAAAAGATGGCTGCATCAGCCCACTTCTTGCTTCAGGTAGAAATCTCCCACTACCGGGAAGTACACATGACTGTTTGCTAAGAGGTGACTTCAAGGCACCGTATTTAACTCTTCATTTTGGAAAATGTCAGATTGTTCACTGCAGCTGGGAATTTGGTACTGAACATGTTAAAGCGAGGGGCTCTCTTTCATGTTCTCCGATCCCACTTCAAACCTTCCTCTTCCCTGTGCAAACAGCCCTGGTTGGGCTCTGGCATAAGGAGCTCGCAGGCTCCCCGGAGTGTTCTTGGGTCTCCTCTCACCTCTGTGTTTGGCAATTCCATTGCTGCGCTCTGCTGGTGCAAAATAAAACCCGCACGCTTTCCTCACCAAAGCCGGCTCCCTGCCAGCACCTCCAGCCCCAGAGACTTCTCTTACTCTTGTAGGCAGCTGAGGTGATCACCACTGAAAGGAAAATGCAGACAGACTAGAAATTTGGGGAAGGAGTTAAGCAAAGGGCTGCATTCATATATCTTCCAAATAATTTCATACTCAGAGTGGTGGTACTTCCTTCTTTTAATGCAGCTTCAGGTCTAATATAACCACCCAGCAGTTCATCTTTCCCCTTGCAAGCCCAGAGGACTGCCAGCGTACTTTCCTTACCCAGGGCTAATCCAGTGTTAGCCTTGGGAGGGCAGAGAAACTGTTTTTGCAACCTGTTCTATCTGTCTGGTCACCTCGCAGGCAAAGTCCTCGGAGGAAATGGGCCACTGGCTGGGCCTCCTCTTGTCAGAGTCAGGATCGAAAACAGACCCGGAGGAATTTACCTATGATTACGTGGATGCCGACAGGGTTTCCTGCATTGTGAGCGCTGCGAAGAACTCCTTCTTGTACGTCAGCGGTACCGGCTGGGGCTGTGTGGGGCTGGTAGAGGGAAGCGAAGCTGGAGCTGGGGGTCCCTCTGCCTGGGGGAGGCTGGCTGCCGTGGGAATAGGTGGGAAATTCCCGGCTGCAGCTCAGTCGCTTTCTTTGGAAGCTCAGCGCGGGACAGGAGAGCGCTTGTCACTGCCCCACCATGATGCATCTAACCTGAGCTGCAGCTTGCCACGGGGCTACGGGACATGTACCCAGGTGCCTTTTGCAAAGGCAGGTTGGTGGGGTGGGCTTGGCTCTGGGGGATGCGGGGCTGTGGGCACCCAGCCATGCAGCTCACCACGCCGCTGCGGCAGGGCGGTTGTGCTGTTGTCTGAGGTCTGGGCGAGAAAGGAAAGAGCCGAAGGGAAATGTAGCTGCGTGGCCCTGCCCGGACCCCAGTACCGCTATGCCCAGGTGCCCCCAAACTGCAGCACAGCCCAGCTGTGCAGCGAGACCGATCCTTCCTGATGGGGTGTCCTGCTGCCTGTTCACAGCTTAATGCAGAGGAAGTACTCCGAGCCCAACGCCTATATCGACAACTTGCCGAAGGGCAGGGTGCAGCAGGAGGAGCTGTACGACGACGTGGATCTGCCAGACCTGCCTGCGGTGAGCTGCCCCGTGCCACAGGCAGCCCCCCTGCCGCAGCGAGCTCTGTGGAGACCGTGGGCAAACATCTGGCCAGGGGGGCTCCAGCGGTGAAGGGGGGAGGCTTTTTTCAACAGCAGCAAAGGGGATTCCTGGCCCCTGGGGAAATCCAGGCTTTTTCAGTGGGGCAGAAATGAGTGCTGGAGAGGAGTCACTAAGGAATGGGAGAGAGATTTCCAGCAGGGTGCTGTAGGGATCCTTGGGCAGCTGGGATAAAATCCCACAATTTCCGTCAGCAAACAGCATGGATTATTTGGTGATAAGTAGCGGGCTTTTTGGAGCCCAGTCTATCAAAATTCCTTTTGATGCCTGCAAGAGTAAGTCCCGTGTGTAAGGACGAGAAAGATGGGCCATGCTGGGGCTGGGACTGTTATCTGGGGAACAGCAGAGAATCCACAGATGTTCCTGTATGGACAACAGTGTGAGATCCTTGCATGGGGCTGCTACCCCTGTTAAGGCCTATTGAAGGAGAGCAGGAGGGGCCCTTCCTTCAGTACACCAAAAAGCCCTGTATGGAATGACTTAGAGCATGGGGTTTTAGTTCCTTTAAGGTTTGTGGAAAAATACTCCAGGTTGCCTGAGATGACATTGCTCTGCAGTGAGATGTTTCCTGTTCTCTGGCTACAGCAGATGGTCCCTTTTCAGGGGAACATTCTCCTTTTGCAGGAAGAAGTACCCAAGAGTGAGAGCAAATTGGAGGCAGATCAAGACAGAGTGTACCTGGATCTCACCCCAGTGAAGTCCTTCCTACACTGTGCTGGCAAGAAGTCATGCCAGCCTTCACCCCTCAGCTCACCATCTCTAGAAAGGGCAGCCAACAAGGCTGCAGCAGAGACCGCAGCCGAGGCAGCCCTCGTGGCTAAGGAAGCCGAGCCCTGTAGTAAGGTGACGGAGACGTTGGAGCAGGTACTGTCCTAAACTGTGGTGCAGGGCCAGGCTTAATCAGTGAGCCGGTGCCCCCCACCACATCATCCCACCTCATTTCCCTCCCCCCTGCCCCCAGAAACACCCAGAGAAGCCAGAAGCCGATGAGGCGCAGCCACGGATGCCCGCTGTCAAAATCCAGACACAGCAGCAGAACATCGCCTTCCCCCAGCCGGCCCCCGAGGCGCCGGTGGGCGCAGGGATGGGGGGAAGTCCCCAGCTGGTGCCCACACACCGGCCCAAGATGCCACTGCCAGGTGAGTGGGGCTGCCTGGAGGGAGGTGGTGAGTTTTGCCCTGTGGTGCGGGGCTTGCTGCTGCTCTACAGTGCCCAAGGGGCTGTTGAGTCTCCTGGTTGGTGACTTCCCAGACCCTTATCTGGCCTGGACCAAGGGTTTCCCTCCTGCAGTTTTCCCTGGCTGAGCTTGTTTTGGGGGGTTGTGTTTCCAGCAGCAGCAGTGGAAACCAAGCTGGGCAAGAATAGGACAGAGGTGGAGGTGAAGCGGTTTACAGAGGAGAAGGAGCGCCTGGAGAAGGAGAAGGATGAAATCCGGGCTCAGCTCACCCAGCTGCGCAAGGAGAGGCGGGAGCTGAAGGAAATGCTCGGAGGCAGCACAGGTAGGGCAGGGCAAGAGGTGATGTGTGGAAATGAGCCAAGGTAGGACCATGGGGAAGGAGGGGGCAATGAACCTGGCCCACCTGGGACCAGAAGGGACAGAGGGGAGACCTGGCTCTTTGAGCCAAACCACATAGCTCAACTTGCCCTAGAGCAAGAGCTTGCTCTGTCACAGTCCCTCTTAGAGGAAAATATAAGGAAAATGTACAGGACATGCCCTGGTCCCTGTTCCCCTCAGTTCCCAGCCAGCATCAAGTTACTCCTCCCTTCACAGACAGGAGCCTAGAGCAGAGACTGAAGGAGATAGAAGAAGAATGCAAAAGGAAGGAGAGCCGGAGGGTGGACCTGGAGCTGAGCCTGGTGGAGGTGAAGGAGAACTTGAAGAAGGCAGAATCTGGCCCTGTGACGCTGGGCACGGCGGTGGACACCACGCACCTGGAGAACGCAGCCCCCCGGGTACGTGGGGGCACCCCTGGGATGCACAGCAGCTTTCCAGCAGCCAGGCAGTTGCACTGTCTCAGCCTGCTTAATAATATAATAATAAATAATGATATTATATTATTATAATATGTAATATTAGATGAATATATAGATTATATTTATATATTTGTATATTCTCTACATATTATGGTAAATATTATATTTAATATAAATATAATAATAATAATATAATAAGGTAACAGCAGTGATAGGGAAGTGAAAGGGGCTGGGCCTCAGGAGAGCAGCTGTATTTCCCTGGAGGACCTTGAGCAACACCCTCTGAGGCCATGCAGGTCTGGACCCAGCTCCTTCTGCACTCAGCTGAGCCAAGGGGTGTTTTCAGGGTGGGGGGAGATTCAGGCATCTAAAATCCTTCCTGAGAACTTGGTTCCCATAAAACAGAGATGGTCGCTGCCTGAGCCTGACTCTGGACCTCTGCTTGAGTCCTCAACACCTAAATACACCACACACACACACATATCCTGGTGGTAATTTGAAATTAGCATGTCACTGAAAAAATATGTGTCCTAGTGCAAGCGGAATGTGACTGTGACTAGGAGACAGTGGGGAAAGGGTGCAATCTGTCTTGGTAGACTGAAGTCATCACCTTTTCTATTGTTTCTGTTGTAGATTCAGGCAAAAAGCGCCAGTCCAGCAAATAGTGCAGAGAACTCGCCAGTCAATTCAGCAACGGCTTTAAAAAACCGGCCTTTATCTGTTATGGTGACAGGGAAGGGAACAGTTCTACAGAAAGCTAAGGTAACCTGTTCATACAGGAGAAAAATCCATCTGGGACAAGCAGTGGAGCAGACTGGCTGTGGTGGGACAGGGTTGTGGGGGGATCTTGCATCTGGGAAGCACCCCTGACCAAGCACCACTCAGAGGAGGCCAGCCTGGTTTTCCTCTGGTCTTTTCACCTGGGTTTACCTTGGCTGGGAAATAAATTAAGAAATGTATGTATTGCTTATAACAATCCCTGACATCCCTGACCCACCCTGTGGCCAAAACCACTTGGGTACCGGACAAAAATTGGGTTGACCTGTGTATATTATGGCTCCTGTGGCTTGCCAGATTTGCCTTTTGACCGATGTGCCTTTATTCCTTGGCAGGAATGGGAGAAGAAGGGAGCCAGTTAGAATCATGTTTTTCAGAGATGGACTAAAGACTGGAATTGCCCATGCATGGCCAAGGGGCTTCAATCATCTGTAGGTGGAGGTTGGGTGTGCAACACAACCACACACCAAGTGCCTCTTCCACATCGCGCCAACTGCTCAGATGCAGCAATGGAGTCAACAGCTGCCAATATGAATTATCCCAAGTGATTTTGCTCTTTCCAGACAAGTCCCAGTCATGTAGCTAAAACAATAACAACCACTGGCAATCCTTGCATCAAATTCCTAACCTGGTTGATGTAAACAAGAATGTGTTACTGTACATAGGGGTGTTTTGTGTATTTCTACTCTGAAGGTTTATCAATGAGTTATTAAGGTTTCTATATTAGTGACAGTAGTAGGTTCAGAGGGGGCCTCTGCTTTTCTTTATACCCTGGTGGTTTTCAACCTGTCATGGCAAATTGCAGTCAACTAAAGGCTCGCCTGTCTTGCTGCAAGTCATCACTCAGCTGCATTTCATCCAGCCTTCAGCCAAGGGCACTACCCATGCCTGAGCAATGCTTGAGCCATGAATGAGCAGCACACAGCAGCCCGTCCAAGGGATTTTTAATCGGTGCTCTGATGCACCCCAGCAAGTGCTTACTCCTACCAGCCTGCTGCAGATTTTCCAGAGTATTGAGGAAGATCCCTGCTCACCTTCTTGTGTTGTAAGCTGTGTTACAGACTAGTGGCAGCAAGAGCTCTGGGCAAAGAAGATCTGCCAAGCAGTTTCAGTCAATTTTCTTGAAGATCTTGGTCTACTTCACCTGAGGAGCTTGTTCTGAAAAAAAAAAAAAAAAAAAAAATCATATTTGAAGGTTTGTTAATAATTTACCAAAGGCCCAGACCTGCTCAGCTGTTGGGTGGGGAAGCTGGATCCTAATCTATCCTTCAGGGCTTGCCGTTTCCCAGGGGAGAGGAGGTAAAGTTGTCCCCATGTTCCTGCCCCAGATGTGAGCACCACATTGCCGATGCTCTCTGATCCTCACAGAGCTGGAGTTGTACAATCTGCTGACGGCACCCCCATGCAAAGGGGCTGGGCTGAGCAGCCTGACCTGCAAGGCTGCACCACTGTGTCTCTCTGGTGGGCCGCTGGTGCTGTCGCCCTTACTCCCAAATTATTAAAATTAATATAGCCTTTAGACCCTGGCAGTGTGGCCCACAAAGCCCACCCCTCTCTGCCCTAGCCAAGATTTCTAATGAAAGATGTTGGACATTTGGGACTGCTAAAGACATTGAAATTTGAAGGGGGGTGCAGGAGTGTCAGAAATCCATGCACCCTCTTCTCCTTGTAATGTGGTGTCATGTCTGATGGCCTGGAGACACCTCTGCCGGCTTCCTCTGATGGTCCTTCAGCCCTGGAGCCCAGGTTCAAAACTGGGTGGGCTGTGTTGTTCCCGGGGTCCCGCAGCTAAAGCAGTGAGCATCACCCAGAGCCAGGGTAAAGACAGAAAAAATGTTGTAAATTCCTAACCCTTGAAAACCTCTGACGGGCCCTGAGAGCACCTCTGAAGGGATGTGGCACCTTCACACAAAGGCCCAACAGCCAGCGGAGGTGCAGGGCTGTGACAGCCGGAGCTGGTGGTGGCACTGGGGTGAGTGAGGATGTGCTGACAAGGGGCTCTGGGCTCGTTTGCCACCACCACAGAGCTGGGGTGCAACAAAGCACTTCTTAGGGTATCCTGGAGGTAAGAAAGGTGACTTCACTCCCCTTCTTTTTTACTTTGAAAGTCTCCATTGCACTGCAGATGGAGGAATTGCTAACCCCAGGCAGCAGGAGGAGTTCATCAGCCCCAGCTGTCAGGCCTGTCCCTGTGCAAGGTTTGCACATAGGAAAAAGTAATGAAAATAAACCACTGAAACTTCTGGTTCAGGACACAGGGGCCTTTTCTCTCCAAAACACAGGGAGGCTACAGACACCATGAAGCTCTTGTTTTGACCCACGCTGAGCTGGCAGAAGACCCTCTCTACACCCTAAATGTATGTGTGTAGTACCACGTCCTCACCATACGCCCCACTGTCCTCCTCCAGAAGTTGTCCAGACATTTCACAGTGGTACTGAGACAGCGATGGGCGAGAGACACTCTGCTTTCTCAACATCAGCCCAGTCAGCTTCAGTCGTCCTGCTGGGGTATCTCCATCAGGGGATGGTAAATGGAGGCGAGTCCTGAGCAACACACGTCCCCCAAAAATAAATGTTAAGCAATGTCTCTGTGTCCCCATTGTTTTCCTAACTCAAGGCATTTCCTTTGTTGTAACTGTGACCTATAAAGTGGCGCTTTAGAGGGTTTTATAATAAAATGTTGAGTATATTATGTTACCAGTGTTTTTTCTTTGTAATGGGGCTTGTCTCTGCTCTACCTTCCAGTAGATTTCAAGTACATCAAACCCCCCAACACTGTTAGTTACTTCAAAGTTGCTTAGCTATGGAGTCTGTAACTGCAATGGACTAAATTTAAATAAGTTAGTCCTCTATGATGACTGCACTGTCAACCAAAAAAAATTTTCAGACCGCTAACCCACTGGAAAGTATCAATAACTGACAATTTACATGAATACATGTAACAGATTCCCACCCGTATCTGTATCACAGTCCTCTTGCAGAAAAGCAGCAAAGGAAGCCACTACCTTCCTCTGGCCACTAGATAGCAACTGTGTGCAACAGTGAGTGCCTGCTGCAGTCACTGGAGGGAAAACCGGGATGGGATTGAGCTGGAAAGGAAGGAAAAGAGTAAAGTGGTTGAGGCCAGTCTTCACAGAACAGACACCAAGTCAGACACGTCTGTGAAATATCTTTTGGTGACTGTACCACTACTAGCTCCTGCTCCCACGGAAGGCATCCTAGCTACAGCCCAAAGCCCTGGGGAAGGTCCTGCTCCCCTGCCTTTCCTAGCTTCCCACATTGACACACACCTGCCAACAAGCCCATGAGTGTCCTGTCAGCCCCTCAGCCCAGGAATCTCAAAATAACAACTCAAAACAACTCAAAGAACAACTCAACAAATCTTAGTGGTAGAAGAAGTTGGCCTAAATGTTTGTATAAGTTGTCTCAGGTATGAATTGAATTGATTTACTTCTACTGAAGAGAATAAGATTGCAGGTGTTCTGCAAGCTGAAGAAGCCAGCTGGCTTGAAGGGGAGCATCAGCAGACCCAGTGCCAGTGCTGTTATACCTCTCACAGGGTGGCCCCAGAAAAGGGGTAAAATTCATGGCACTTACTTAAATCCCAGTTTCTTAATGGAGAAACAGGCTCTCCCCTAAAGTCAGCACCTGGCCCACAACCAGCCAAAGCTCATCCAGCAATCCAAAAGAGCGAGAGTAATTCGCAGCTCTGTTAGTAACAGCAGCCCAGACATCTAACAGCAACCTGGCACAGACGGCGTCCTCTGCGCTCCCCTGATGCCAGACAGGATTAGCGCTGGCTTTGCAGGGACCTCACCTCCTCGGTGGCTGTGCCAGCCTCAAACATTGAACCAGCCTTAAGGGAATGAGCTCCCATCAGGTAAATTCTCATTAAGTATTTCTAACAATCAAAGCAAGTCTGTGAGAGTGAATTTAATAAGGAATCATGTGAGAGACCCAAACCACTTGCTCTTTTAACTAAAATTTGCAGGAGAAATGGCCTAGAAATTAGCTAGGATCTTCAACTCATATTTCTAAAAAGAAAACCAAAACAGCTCCAACAACTGTTCAGCAGTGTCCTGCTTGGCTGCGGGATCAGCAGGTCTCTCCAAGACCATCCCATATATCCTGATCTTTGTTACCAGCTTGGCTTTTCCTGTCTCCTCCCAATGCCCTGACACCTTCTTACCTTGTGAAGTACTTGTTCTGTACAAAAGGAGAGCTGGAGGCTGCTGTCACTGTCAGAGCATCGCTGCAGCCTTGGATAGTTGCTCAGACATCAGCTGCAAATGCTGAAGAAGATCACAGTCACAGCACACATAGATCCTCAACACATGGGGATCCCTGCAGCATTTTGGGCACTGAGACCTCAGCCAGGTGCACCCAGAGGCTAAGGGCTGGGTTTAGGAACCACTGTTCCTGAAAACCCTCCATGAGTTTCCAATCTTTCATAACATCTCTACTTGAGAAGCTGATGCACAGGGCTAGATGTATTCCATCCAGCACTAAAATGTTGTCTCCAGCATGAGATTCCGCAGTCTGCAATTCCTGAGTCACACAGAGAGGTCTGTCTATCTGCGCTTAAAACCAGATAGATAGTATAAACACAGGGTTTCCCCCAGCTCAGGACCCAGGCAAGCATCCTTTGTCCCAATAAAGCCCATGCATTCTAAAAATGTGCTTACTAGTTATGTATTAAAGCAAAGAAAACTTACAAAGATTATACCAAACCACATTTGCAACAAGGCAAAGTAATCTCAGCAGTATCCTGCAGGCAACAGAGATACAAGGAAAAGGCTTTAAGCACCTGCATCAGACTAGGAAAACACGTCCCAGCTCCAGAGCTGCATGCCAGACAAGGTAAATATGCTTCTGTTGGAGAGGGAAGACTGATCTCGTAGAGGACAAATGGCTGTGAGGAGTGAACTAATGATGATGTTAAACAAACTGTAGCAGGGAAACCACCAGTGAGCCGCAAACCCAACGGGGCAGCAAGGGTGAGAAGCAGCGGTCCCTCTGCCCCTTCACACAGCACAGGATGTGCAAGGAGGCCGGGGAGAGTTTCCAGAGCAGTCTGGCTGGAATCCAGCCAGCTCCATGGGCACTTCTGCCCCATAAAACACAAACCACATCGTTGGTGTCAGCTGTGAGTCTGATCTAGCCCATTCTCCCCCTACAAGAGACGACTGACAGTTTTACAGCAGAGACAATGCTTAGCTACAGCCATGCCCAAGTAAGTAAAATTAATAGATTAGTTTCCCTTTCTATCCCAAATGTCAGCCCTTCAACTGTGCCTTAGGACACAGACAATCTACTGAAGTGACAGTGAAAAGAAAGAGGAAATTCTCCTTTCTCCTAGCCTGGTTTCTCCCACAAGGTACGACAGTGCTGCTCCTGTCTCAGTGCCAGCTTTCATCCCAAGAGTGCTTTTAGACCATTCTTCTTTTGACAACAAACTTGCGGAGTAATTTATGTCTCTCTTTGTACATCTACTGTTACTATTCAAACACAGGGCCAGGACATCTGGGTGAAGGGATTTTTCTCCTTCTGGGAACAATAAACTCTATTTTCATGAGTGCTGGCAGTCACAGTGAATGTCTCTGCCTCAGCCCTGTCCAGAGCTGCTCCTGCCCTCCCAAGGTGATGGACGCCATGGGAAAGGCAGCAGAGAACAACCCAACAGTGTGAACCACAGGCCCTGGGGGAGCAGTTATGTAAATTTTACAGCTTCATGGGCAAATTGATCTAGTGATCCAGTGAGGCTGATGCTCCAAAGGATGCAGGCATGCAGCCAAACTGTCTTTGGAGACAGGTTAACCATCAGAGCCCACCAGAGGCTCAGCTTGTGCTGCAGCGACCACTGCTGCACTGGGGAGGAGATTACTTAAAACAATGAGGGGGGACAGAAATGCTGTTCAGCTCACCCATCTGGGTTCAGGCCAGGACAAGCACGCTGTTCTCCCCAGCCAGCTCCAAAAGGAGAGCAAAGCAGCATAGCAAAGCTCTGAGTCGTGGAAACAGCATCAAAAAGAAGAGGTGAGACTTGACCTGGAATGGGCAAAAAAGAAGGAATAAGAGAAAAATATGCACTGGCAAAGGAGAGAGCAAAGAGGTGGCCAGCAGAAGGAGAATGAAAGGGTGGATGAGATCTAGGAAGAGAGGTCTAGACCTCTTCCTCGTCTGACCTGCACACTGCCTGTCATGTTTGGCTCCCAGCACCCATGTGAGACCACTCAGGAGGTTGTCCTGGTCCTGCCCACTCCAAGGCAGAGTGTGTCTGGCAGATAAGAGGGAGGCTGGGAGGGGAGGAACGCAGTTAAACCTGAAAGCAAATAGACCAAGGTCCAAAGACCAGCAGGATGGTACAAACCATGGCTCCGTCCAGAGCCTACAACAGACCAGACCTTTGTCTGCAAGCAGTTGGGGGACTGTCCTTACTTGGCGTGTTTGCAGCACTGGTAACTGGATTTGACCTGGGTCAAATCTAGAAGAAAAACAGTCGATGCACCTACTAAAACCAGCAACACATACTGACTGTCACAGCTCTGCTTTGTAGTTGCATAAACCATTAAATGCTCTTGAAAAACCAATCCTTTTCACACCTCTCCTTGTTAAAAATACGTGGCTACAAAATGCCCATGAAGCTGAATCATATTCAATCACTCCAAATCAATTCAGAGAAGAAAGCAGAATGGACAACTTAAAAAACAGAATAGAGGCTTGTAATCAGTTCTCCTTCCTCTTCCTCGTCTTCCTGTGTGTAACAAGCCATTCACTCCAGCACCTGGCAGCCAGTGCATAATTTATGTTATACCCCTTCAGCGGGAGCTCCAGAATTGCCCAGACTTCTACATACTTTTAGACTAACTCAAAGATCTCTCAAGACATCTGTTTAAAAAAAAAGGATAATCACATGGCACTAGAGTTTGGATGAGGAAATGCAAAATGCCAATAATAAATACTTAACACAAATATTTACTTCAATTAAAAAAGAAAGAGAGCACTGGGAAGCCCAGTTTGTGCAGTGGAGGGACTGGGAACAGCCTCAGCACAGTCCCATTGCTGGATTGACTCAATCACTGCCAAGAACAGTGGTGGCTTGCTGGATCATGCCTGTGAGTGGCAGTAAGCAATCCTGAATGGAGAACTGGGGCACTCAGTGCATCTGTGTCAGTGTCTCTGATCCACGTGCCTTTTGGTGTGCTGGGGGGCTCTGGAGAAGTGCTGCAAACTCCTTGGACTCCACTGCACGTGGGAGTGTGGAGGAAGGACTGGGGATCTTGGAGAATCGCCCCGGAGAACTCCTGTTGCAGAAGAGAAGCACAGACGTGGGATAAGGGCTTTAGGATGAAGGGGTAAGCTCATGCTCAGTCCATTACAACCCAGAAAGCATCCTCTTGGCCTTAGCTGACAGATGTTAGAGCCATGGGGTGGAAGTCAGAACTCCTGGGCTCAGGTAAAGAGCACAATATTGGGCGAGGGGGAAACCTACTTAATAGAGAACTTCTCACTATGGGCATAGGACCACCTCTAGGGAGCCAGAGGTTTACGACCTCTTGGCCATTTCTCCCCTGCTGAAGAGGAGGAAGGCAATGGGGAGGATTTTGCGCCATGGAAAGCACTGAGAGCAATAGAGAGGGAGTCACACTCCAACAGAAACAGCTCCCACCCGTTAAAATGGAGCCAGAGCTT